TCTATAGTCTAGTCCATAGTCTAGTCTATAGTCTAGTCTATAGTCTAGTCTATAGTCTAGTCTATAGTCTCTTCTATAGTCTAGTCTATAGTCTAGTCTATAGTCTAGTCTGTAGTCTAGTCTATAGTCTAGTCTGTAGTCTAGTCTATAGTCTAGTCTGTAGTCTAGTCTGTAGTCTAGTCTAGTCTAGTCTAGTCTAGTCTATAGTCTAGCCTATAGTCTAGTCTATAGTCTAGTCTTTAGTCTAGTCTAGTCTTTGGTCTAGTCTATAGTCTAGTCTATAGTCTAGTCTATAGTTTAGTCTATAATCTAGTCTATAGTTTAGTCTATAGTCTAGTCTATAGTCTAGTCTATAGTCTAGTCTATTGTCTAGTCTATAGTCTAGTCTATAGTCTAGTCTATAGTCTAGTCTATAGTCTAGTCTATAGTCTAGTCTATAGTCTAGTCTATAGTCTAGTCTATAGTTTAGCCTATAGTTTACTCTAAGTATAGTCTAAGTATAGTCTATAGTTTAGTCTATAGTCTAGTCTATAGTTTAGCCTATAGTTTAGTCTAAGTATAGTCTATAGTTTAGTCTATAGTCTAGTTTATAGTCTAGCCTATAGGCTAGTCTTTAGGCTAGTCTATAGTCTAGTCTATAGTCTAGTCTATAGTCTAGTCTATAGTCTAGTCTATTGTCTAGTCTATAGTCTAGTCTATTGTCTAGTCTATAGTCTAGACTATAGTCTTGTCTATAGTCTAGTATGTAGTCTAGTGTATTTTTTAAATTTTAATTCATGGGAACAAATTTATTTTTTAATTTTAAACCTTCAAAGTTAATTTAAGTCTATTATTAGACATTGACTTTTTAAAAAATAGTTATTTATAAAAATAAACATTTTGTTTAACAGTCAAACTAAAACATAATTTAAAGTAAATCTAAAGCAGAGTAGCACACATCAACTAAGTGGAACAATAGGTCACTAGTCTAGTCACTCTTCGCTCTCTTAAAAAGCAAGTAGGTCAAAAACGTACATATAAACCAAAAGCTGCGAAGAAAAAAAGTAAAATTTTTTATTTCATGCCAAAGTAATTAAGTTAAAAAAAAAATTAAACTAAAATTTTAAAAAGAACCAGTTTCATTAATAACAATAACTAAAAAACTTCATTATCATCGTTATTGTTTAAAAAAAAAAAGAAATAGTTGTATACAAAGTTTAGCACGTACGTTATGAAAATAAAACGTTAATTTTTCATTGTTCTCGTTCTTTATTAAAATATTAATGTAAAAATAAAGCAATTGTACTTTTATTTCAGTTTATTACTCAAACTTGTGTAAATATGTTTACGGAAATAAAATGAAATACTTGTAGACTATTCATTACAAATCAACTAAATAAATTTAATTGTCCCTTACACTATAAACGTTACTTTTCAAAATATTTAATCATAAAATCGCAAAATGTCATTAAAATGAAAGTTGTTTTTATTGTATTTACGACACATACTGGTTCTCTTTAATTCCAGAAAAATATATACGAGTAATTTCATTTCTAAATTATTCTAAATATTCTTATCTGAACTTAGAAATAATTTAATCTTTTTTTGACAATTTTTGTTCCTCAATTGCTTAATTGAAGTGGGAGTGTATGTGTGTGTGTGCAAAAGTTTACACTACGCAAAAAAACTAGAAAAAAAAAACAGTAGTTCCGTATGTGAAATGTCACGTCAGCCATTTTTGTATTTTTTTACTCCTACCTCATACAGTGTTGCCAAATTGTAATTAAATTATCTTTAACTTGTTTTTGTTTATCAAATAATTTCAAAATGGCGTTAAATGTATAATTAGCTAGAATTCTTTATTGTAATTAAAACGCACAAAAATATTTAATCAGTTTTTGTTCTGATAAATTTGCAAAAGAAAAAAATTTGTTGATAAAATAGTGTTTTAGTGTTTGCTATAGTTAGGTTCTAAATAAATTGTTAAAGTAATCGAATTTTTTTAAAAAGTAGACCAAATTGTCGAAATTGAATCTTTCATAAATAGTTTTCAATCGACTCTTTTTTATGAAAGTGTTTCTAGGGAAGTTTATTTTCTATTGGAGAGTATTGAAATACTTGTTTCTTTAGACGAAAAAGGTCTTGAAAAGAAAAATGAAAATCTTTTTTTTTTTTTAATTTGTTTAAGATTATAAAATTATCGATAATTTACTTTTCTTTAAGCTCTTTTTTTATAATTAACTGGAAATAGAAAATTTATAGAATTTTTTTTATTGAAAGATTTTAGAATAATTTTTTTTAATTAGAAATTTAGCAAAATTTTTTTAAAGAGTTTTTAAGTTTTAGAAAAGTTTCAATATATTGAAAATATGGAATTTATGGAAAATTTGCTAAAAATAGAAAATTTATCTAATTTTCTTTAAAAAAGAACATTTATTGAAAATTTTCTATAAAAAAAGAATGTACATCAAAAATTCTCTAAAAATGAAAATTTATTCCAAATTTTCAAGAAAAATAAGAAAATTTACTATAAAAAAAGAAAATTTTTTAAATATAAAAAGGAAATTTATTGAAAACTATCGTTTAATGAAAATTTATTGAAAAGTTAAAAAAAAATAAGAAAATTTATCAAAATTTCCAATAAAAAAGAAAAGTTATTGAAAATTTTCTGAAAAAGAAAAGAAAATTTATTGTAAATTTTCTATAAAAAGCAGTTGTTGAAAATTATAAAAAAAATTAAAATTTTTTGAAAATTTTCTATAAAAAAAGCTAATTTATTGAAAATTTACTGTAAAAAAGCAAAATGTATTGAAAATTTAATATTAAAAACTTTCTATAAAAAAAGGAAGATTTTTGAAAATTTTCTAAAAAAAAAGAATAAAAATTGAGAAAAGTTATTGAAAAATTTCTGTAAATAAAGAAAATTTATTGTAAATTTTCTATAAAAAAGTAGTTGTTGAAAATTTTCACAAAAAAAAAATGAAAATTTGTTGAAATTTTTTTATAAAAAGCTAATTTATTAAAAATTTACTGAAAAAAGAACATTTTTTTTTTTTAATTTTCTACTAAAAAAGGAAAATTTATTGAGAACTTTCTTTAAAAATGAAGATTTTTTAAAAATTTCAAAAAAAAAAAAATTGAAAAAATTCCCTATTAAAAAAGAAAATTTATCGAAATTTTCAATAAAAAAGAAAATTTATTGAAAATATTCTAAAAAAAATAAAATTTATTGTAAATATATTTTAAATTATTTATAAGAAATTAAAATTTGTTGAAAATTTTCTATAAAAAAGCAAATTTATCAAAAATTTCAATAAACAAGAAAAGTTATTGTAAAATTTATAAAACAAGAAAAGAAAATTTATTGAACGTTTTATAAATTAGGAAAGTTTATTGAAATTTTTCAAAAAAAGGAAAATTTATTTAGTATTTATCGAAAATTATCTAAAAATAAAGAAAAATGATCGAAAATATTGAAAATTTCCTATAAAAAAGAAAATATAGAATATTTATTCAAAACTATAAGAACTAATTTATTGAACATTTTGTATAAAAAGAAGAAAATTTATTGAAAATTTTTTATAAAAAAGAAAATTATCGAAATTTTTCTAAAAAATATTGAAAACTTTTATAGAAAGTAAAAAAGATTTTTTTTGAAAACATTCTATAAAATATTTTTTTTACAATTTTTTTAAAAAAGAAAAATTTAAAGAGGAAAATTATTCGGAAATCTTCCTCAAAAAGGATATTTTTTGAAAACTTTCTATAAAAAATCAAATTTATTGAAAAGAAAAAAGAAAATTTATTGAAAATAATAAAAAATAAATTTATCAAAAATTTTCTATAAAATAAAACAAATTTTATCTAAAATTTTTTATAAAAAAAGAAATTTAAAAATTTTCTAAAAAAAAAATAATATTTTTGAAAATTTGATAAAAACAATAGGACAATTTATCACAAATATTATTTAAATACTAAAGTTTTGGAAAATGCACATAAAAATTTCCAAAATTGGTATTAAATAAAAAAATATTGAAAAGTTTTTAATTCTAATAAATTTTTTCTTTTCTCTTTTTTCTTAAGATAAAAATGTGTTTTATTTATTTGGCGTGTATTTATTTTTGCAATTTTGTTTCTTTTCTTGCAATTTCATTTACAACCTATTTTTAGTCTATTTTTACGTTAAAAAAAGTAAGAAGAAGAAATTGTTGCATTTGCTTTATAATCTTTATGCAAAGTATTTTGTTTATGTAAATGTTTAAATTTTTGGTATTTAGTTGGTATTTGGAGCAGGTACGCCAAGATTCTCGAGTAAAAATAAATTGTTGACATAATTGGGAGTTATCAACGTCAATCGTTTTAGAATGCTTTTGAATGTTTTTTGTTTTTTTGGTAAAGACAAAAATACATTTTAAAGTAGACAGAAAAAAATAATAGAATTTTTAAAGTATTTAAAGCTAAAGAATTTTGAAATTTTCTACACTTTGGTCACGCCCATTTTACTAAATGATTTTGGATTTAATTTTTTTTTCAATTTAATTGAATAAATTGTAAACAATAAAGGATTTATAGATGAAATATTAAAAAACAAAAACCAAAAAGAATTAAGTTCATAAATCGAGAAATTTCAGAGAAATTATTAAATTTGTTTTTAATTACTTCAAACTGTTAAGTATATGTCAAATTAATCAATTAATTGTGATTGGAATCTAATTGGAATACTTTTTTATATATATTTTCTATAGTTGTTTTATTAAATTAATAATTTAAACAAATTTCCTAAATAAACATTTAAAATTTATAAAAACTTTCTTTAAGTGGAAGCAATTTCCTTTGTATTTATTATATTTTACTATAATTTTCTATTATTTATTTAGAATTCAATATTTTTTCAAATTCCAACTGTAATTTTCTCTTTTATTTACCATATTTACAGTAAAGTGTGCTCTCAACAGTAGCAACCATCTGGCAACTTTAATTTTTCTGCTAACATGCCGTTTTACTACTATTATAATACAACCCAGCAGATCAGCAAAAACACCAACAAATAGTAAACAAAACAAAGCAAAGCCAGTCAAAGTTGTGCAAAGTTAAATAATGCGGAATGCAATTATTGGACTTAAATACCGATTGTTTATTGAAAATCTTTAATTATTGTGATGAAAAAGATTTAATAAATCTATCACGGGCCCATCGTACACTCCACAATGTAATCGATAACAATATATTCCATAAATTAACACTGGATCTGCTAATGTGTGGCCATCGCCATCAACCAGACATAATAAAACGGTAAGTAACTTTTAAAAGAAAAGGGAGGGGAACTGCCTGATAGTTATCGTTTATTCTATTTATTTCTTTTGGGTTACCAGCACCCATTCCTATTTATCCTATGCCAATCGTTTGAAAATTGCTAGAAACTGGCTAAATGGCTGTTATCGTGAGCAGCAATATTTCCATCGTTCCAAAATGTTTGCCACCAAATTGCATTTGGAACGTAATTGGCTATATGTTTCCTATGCTGGTTACCTTAGTCAACATAAACGCCTAAAGGCCGAAGCTTTGCAAAGACGTTATCATCAGGAAATCACCACCAGCAACCGTGCCGACATTGCCGACTTTATAAAAAAGAATGATAGCATTTTCGCCGGACGCGTAACGGGCAGTTGTTTTATTTATGAAGATGGCTATGCCTATGAACAACAATTACACCCACCCAAAGAGTATTTACGCTGTGTGGACTTTGCTGGTCAAATGTATGCCACCAGCACGGATAATTTTGGTAAAATATGGCGTCGTGAGGAGGAGTTGGGTTTGATTAATTTGGATTTGGTGAAAAATTTAAAACATTCTTATAAGACTATGCGTTTTAATGCTGCAGGAGATCGTTTGTTTGGTGGTCTTTATACTTCCACCTCTAGACGTGCCTTGCAAGAAATTGACTTGGAAAGGTGAGTACTGTTTAACTAAGTTCCTTATATTTTATTTATTTTTAAATTTCATTCATCATTTTTGCAAAAAACAGAAGTTGAGTCCAAAATTTTGAGGTTAGAATTTATAAGTGGAAAGTTTAATTTGATGACTAATGTTTGTTTTATCTTTTTAAATGCATTAAAAATAGTTTTCTTGTTGTTTATTAGTGCAAATATGTTTGCTTTATCTTAAACTTATAAAGGCAGCTTAAATTTAAATTACAAATTCTTATCTGGTTTTTGCAAGTATTGAGGTTATGTCATTATTAGTAGGAGGGGAGAATATACATACGTTCTACTTATCGTATGAAGTAAAACAATTTACAAAGCAAAGTCTTTAGCTTTATCTATAGTCGACACTAGTCTATCAAGACTATAGACTAGGACTATCGTCTAGTCTGTTCTATATTTGAGACTTCAGTCTAACTTATAGTCGAAACTAATGTCTTTTCTTTCTAGAATATGGTTGCGATACTTTAGTCTGCTCTATAGTTGAGATTATAATCTGGTCTATAGACGAGACTATAGTCTGGGTCTATAGGCGAGACTATAGTCTGGTCTACAGCCGAGACTATAGGCTGTGGTCTATAGACGAGACTATAGTCTGTGGTCTATAGACGAGACTATAGTCTGCTCTATAGACGAGACTATAGTATGCTCTATAGAAGAGACTATAGTCTGCTCTACAGACGAAACTATAGTCTGATCTATAGACGAGACTATAGTCTGATCTATAGACGAGACTATAGTCTGATCTATAGACGAGACTATAGTCTGAACTATAGACGAGACTATAGTATGGTCTATAAACGAGACTATAGTATGGTCTATACACGATACTATAGTCTGATCTGTTCACGAGACTATAGTCTGGTCTGTACATGAGACCATAGTCTGGTCTGTAGACGGGACTATAGTCTGGTCTCTAGACGAGATTATAGTCTGGTCTGTAGACCAGTGTTTGTGAAAAGAGTACCAAAATTACAAAATTAAAGTAAAAAGTACCATTTCCGAAAAGGGATTAAAATTACTCTGGAAATGACAAAGAGTTACATACGCTATTTAGAAAAGAGTACCAAAATGTAAAAAAGTACGTATTAAAACAAGTGTTTGAATTTGTACAAAATTCTGGTAAAAGGTACCAAAATTTTAAAAAGTACGAAGTAGAAAATTTGCTTCAAAATCATTAAAAAGTACCAAACTGTTAAAAAAGAAAAGTACCACAATTAGGAAAAAGTACTATAATTAGGAAGAAGTACTACAATTAGGAAAAAGTACCAAAATGTTCAAAAAGTATCAAGCGGAAAAATTTTTTAAAAATCATTAATTAGCTGTTTAGTTATACAACTTTTTGCAAAATATACCAGATTTCAAGGAATTAGTATCGATGTATAGTTAAAAAAATATTTTTAAAAAAGTACTTAAGTTTAGTAAAAAGTACCAAAGTGTTATTTAGAAAAAAAGTACCAAACTGGGTAAAAATAAAGCAAAATTTTTTTTGTTTAGAAAAAAGTACAAAAATTTTCTTTTTAAAAGAAAAAGTAACAAAAAATTTGAAAAAATCCCTTTGAAGGAAATGTATTGAAAAATTAACAAGATTTTAAAGAAGAAGTAGATTTTGAAAATATTAGAAAATTTTAAAAAAAATTTCCAATTATAACAAAAAGTGTCAAGTGTTTTGAAAAGAAGAAAATCATGATCCATTAAATCAATCAAGTCACAACTTTATTAATTTTCCTTAAAAATTAAAAACAAAAAACCTATTAAATTCCAGTGGTTGCGAACAGGCTCTCAATTCCAATACTATATCCATTTATGATCTCAAACTAAAGGATGAAAATACTCTCTTCACCGCCAACTTTGATACCAGTTTTCGTCTTTATGATCGTCGTTCGGATCGTGATGAAATGATTTGGGAAGATCCTTTTGATTCATCATTCTTTTGCCTTGAATATGATGGTCTCTATGGGGTATTGTGTGGCACTAAATATCACAGTCGTGTTAATCTCTATGATATACGTAAACCAGACAAACACATGCAATTGTATTTTCCCCAAATCAATCGAAGACGTCGTGCTAATGGAGGAGGAGAATTTAAATCATCACCCGTTTATAGTTTGGCCTGTGATTGTCGTTATTTATTTGTGGCCACTGATCATAATGTTCATGTACTTGATTTTAAAGTAGACTGTGCTGTGAGCCGGGATTATCGTGATATATTCCGACAAATGTATCGTATTTAAAGTATTTTATGCCATTTTATTATAACATATACATATATATAATGTTTCCTCTTGAATGTATTCTAATTATTATTTTTATGTTTTTAATGGTTTTTTTTGTTTTAATAAAGACTACCACCCCCTGTTTCAAAACACAATGGTTTGTTTTATTAATTAAAGAAATTTTGTTTAATTTTTCTTCCTTTATTTTTATAAACCTTTTTTTTAATGTTTGTTTTTCTCCATTTTTTAACTTAAACAAGTGCTTTGAAAAAAAGGAAACAATTGAAGTACAAAATTTTCTTAAAAGACATTTTTAAATAAAATTCTTAAATATTATCTTTTTGCTATTATACATATTTTGTTTAAAAAAAGAAACTAAATTTGTGCCATTAAACCTGTCTGTTTGCTGTGTATTTAATAGTTAAATAAATATGTGTGAACAATTCTCTAAAAAAAAACTTATTTACAATCCTTTAAAAGCCAAAAAAAGAAGAGTTTTTGTTTTATAAATAATTGCTGCTAACTAATATACAAATTAAATTTATAGTTAATAATTATTTTGATTTTTTTTGTTTATATAATAATAGTAAGTATAATTAAATGTCTAACAAAGTAAACCCTTTATGAAAACCTATAATTTTTTGATCAACTTTCTTTTTTTTTCTTTCTTTTATATTAAAGTCTTAATTAAGAAACTCAGTGTCAAGAAGAGGAAACAGCGTGCTGGCGTTTAATATGGTTAAAGTTTTCTGTTTTTGTTTTTGTTTTAATTAAAACTAACTTATATAATGCTTAAAACTTAAATAAAGGCACCACTCTTTAAACTAAATTAATAACTATCTTTGAGTTTCAGTTGTCGTTGTTTCTGACGTTGCTGTTGCTGCTGTAGCATCTGTATTATTGACTTCTGTATGCTGCGTTGAAGTAGACGGATCTGTTGCTGTGGGAACTTTATCTGTGGTTTCATTGAGTGCTGCTGCTATTTCACCATTAAATTGTAATAAACAGCCTAAAGCTCCAAAATAGCCTTCATGTTCTAGGAAGAGTCCTTTTAGGGTGCCATTCGACCAGAATTCCATGGCATAGGCCAATAATTTCATGGCTATAGGATTAACACGCAGGAAATTGCCAACAAAAACAACCTAAATGATTAAGAATAAAATGAAATTAAAAGAAAAAATAAGATAATGGATAAGAATAAAAAGAAAAATGAGCTAATACTTTTGATCTTTACTAAAGTCACGTATAGTTTGGGGTCTATGGCCGAGTTTTTAGTTTAAACTAAAGACTATAATCGGTTATACAGTATAGTCTTGTCTAAAGTCCAGACTATAGTTTTGTTTATAGTCCAGACTATAGTCTTGTCTATAGTCCAGAGTATAGTCTTCTTTATAGTCCAGACTATATTATTGTCTATAGTCCAGACTATATTCTTGTCTATAGTCCAGACTATAGTCTTGTCTATAGTCCAGACTATAGTCTTGTTTATAGTCCAGACTATAGTCTTGTCTATAGTCCACACTATAGTCTTGTCTATAGTCAAGACTATAGTCTCATCTATAGTCCAGACTATAGTCTTGTTTATAGTCCAGGCTATAGTCTTGTTTATAGTCCAGACTATAGTCTTGTTTATAGTCCAGACTACAGTCTTGTCGATAGTCCAGACTATAGTCTTGTCTATAGTCCAGACTATAGTCTTGTCTATAGTCCAGACTATAGTCTTGTCTATAGTCCAGACTATAGTCTTGTCTATAGTCCAGACTATAGTCTTGTCTATAGTCTAGACTATAGTCTTGTTTATAGTCCAGACTATAGTCTTGTTTATAGTCCAGACTATAATCTTGTCTATAGTACAGACTATAGTCTTGTCTATAGTCCAGACTATAGTCTTGTCTATAGTCCAGGCTATAGTGTTGCCTATAGTCCAGGCTATATTGTTGTTTATAGTCCAGACTATAGTGTTGCCTATTGTGCTGATTATAGTCTGGTCTATATATAGATTACTCTTGTCTATAATCCAGACTATAGTCTTGTTTATAATCTAGACTATAGTCAAGACTATCGTGTTGTCTATAGTCCACTCTAGTTATGTCCATAGTCCAGACTATAGTGTTGTCTATAGTCCAGACTATAGTGTTGTATATAGTCCAGACTATAGTCTTGTCTATAGTCCAGACTATAGTCTTGTCTATAGTCCAGACTACTCCTGTCTATAGTCCAGTCTTGTCTATAATCCAGACTTTAGTCTTGTTTATTTATAATCCAGACTATAGTCAAGACTATAGTGTTGTCTATAGTCTAAACTGTAGGCTTGTCTATAGTCCAGACTAAAGTCATGTCTATAGTCCAGACTATAGTCTTGTCTATAGTCTACTATAGTCTATAGTAGACTATAGGTAATACTATATATAGTCTATAGTAGACTATATATAGTATTGCCTATAGTCTACTATAGACTATAGTCTTGTCTATAGTCTACTATAGACTATAGTCTTGTCTATAGTCTACTATAGACTATAGTCTTGTCTATAGTCTACTATAGACTATAGTCTTGTCTATAGTCTACTATAGACTATAGTCCAGTCTATAGTCCAGATTATAGTCTTGTCTATAGTCCAGACTACTCTTGTCTATAGTCCTATAGTCCAGACTACTCTTGTTTATAGTCCTATAGTCCAGACTACTCTTGTCTATAGTCCTATAGTCCAGACTACTCTTGTCTATAGTCCAGTCTTGTCTATTATCCAGTCTTTAGTCTGGTCTATAATCCAGACTATAGTCTTGTCTATAATTCAGACTATAGTGTTGTCTAGACTATAGTCTTGTCTATAGTCCATCTCTATTAATCTATTTTTGAGATTATAGCCTAGACTAGCGACTATAGTCTGGTCTATAATTGGGTCTATAGCCTGGTCTTTCGTTTAGCTTATAATCTGTTGCATATTTAAGACATAATAGTCTTTATAAACGGAACTAAACACTTTGATTTTATCCCCTATAGAGAACTGACGTAAATTTCAACGCTATTAAATTATCAATAGATTCCATTCTATATATAAATATATAAAAAAATTTAACCAAAATAATTTAAAATATTCCTAAATAACATTTATCTAAGTTTTAATACGAAAACAAACCTACTTATCTTGCCTTTATTACTCTTTAACCAAGGAAATTCAGATAATAATAAAAAAATTTCCCATAAAACAATATAAACAATAAATGCATAAAAAAATAATTGATTGTATACTAACCTTATCGATTTTTTCATTGAGTGCACACATGCGAGCTATTAAACCAATATTATTGGTTATAGTTACTAAAGTGGCATTGGCAAGATCTTCGCGGGAGACAGAGGCTCGTTTATCTTGTATATGCATTTGGCCAAAGCTTAGAAAAAGAACAAAATGATATTAAAAACAATCAAGTTTAGTTAAATCATTAAATAACTACCTGGAAGCCACTAAATCTCCAGTCAAACCAAAACGATCATAGTCTCCACCATAAATATCACGCACCAATTTATCTACTTTGCGATTATCGCCTTTGGTGGCCAATTGTATGGCCTCTTCAAAAGTAGTGCAGCCTGTTAAAAGGCAACACAAGCCCAGGAATGTACCACCACCCAAACTAAAAGAAAAGAAAAAGTTAATGAAAATTTTGTTAAACTATTTCATAAAACAAAAACCTACCTAGTACCCGATACACGTTTATAGTTATCAGGACCATACACAGCTAATATGGAAACACCAGAGCCCACATTAACCAATATAAAGGGATAAGGTTGAGAAAAATCAAAAGCTTTTTTCTCGCTTTTCCTAAAAATAAGAAATTTAATTACATTTTCATTTATTTTAAATAGTAACTAACCCCCCAAACTTACATTATATCCCGGGCATTTTCATAATAATAACATTCTGTACGATTTTGTATTTCGGAAAATAATATGCCTTTAATTAAAGTATCCAATTCATCAAATTTAGCCAATTTCATATTGACTTGCTGGAATAAAAAAAATTAACAAAAATTTATAATAATTTCATATGTAAAAAAAATATTTCTTACAAACACACCTCACGAAAATCATTTTCAAATTTATAAGCTCCTCCTCCGGTAGCACAGACAGTGGTTACCAATTCAGCCATACCCTTTTGTTTGGCCAGTGATAAAAAGTTACCCATATCTGTGGTTTGAAAACGTATAAAATGCAACGAACCAGTACGTTTACGTATTTCCACATTGTCCATCTAAAAAGATTAAAATTTTCATATAATAAATTCTAATACAAAAATAGATAAGTCAAGGGTTTTGGTTTATACTTATTTGATTTCTGTTGCATATATTTTAATCATATTTATTTATTAATTTTATTCATCATTATTATTTTTATTAAGTTTATTATTATTTTATTTTAATTATTAAATCATTTAAGTCATATTTCGTCAAGTCATTCATACCTCTTTGTATTAGTGGTTCGATTTAAATGAGTTCTTTAAATGATAATGTGTTTTTTTTTTTGTTAAAAAGTCTCAGTCAAACTTGATAAGATTTGTAAGAAATATTTCCATTAGTCTGCAAAATATTTTAACAAATTTTTGGCAATTTTTCTTTATTTTTAAAAAGGTAAATGTTTTGCGATCAATTTTTATAAAAACAAAGTCCAATTGTATACAATAGGTATTATCGGATGTGGAGAGTGGACTGTAGACTTGACTATAGATCCATCTATATAGTAATCTCGACCATAGATTATCCTATAGTCTTGAGTATGGATCAATCTGTACTATAGGTCAATCTATAGTCTGGACTATAGATCAGTCTATAGTCTGGACTATAAATCAGTCTATAGTCTGGACTATAGATCAATCTATAGTCTGGACTATAGATCAGCCTATAGTCTGGACTATAGATCAGCCTATAGTCTGGACTATAGATCAGCCTATAGTCTGGACTATAGATCAGTCTATAGTCTCGACTATAGATCAGTCTATAGTCTGGACTATAGATCAATCTATAGTCTGGACTATAGATCAATCTATAGTCTGGATCTAGATCAGACTATTATCTGGACCCTAGATCAGTCTATAGTCTGGTCTATAGATAAATCTATAGTCTGGTCTATAGATAAATCTATAGTCTGGACTATAGTT